GGCCGGGAGCGGTGGCTCACGCCTGTAATCCCAGAACTTTGGGAGGCTGAGGCAGGTGGATCACAAGGTCAGGAGATCGAGACCATCCTGGCTAACACAGTGAAACCCTGTCTCTACTAAAAATACAAAAAATTAGCCAGGCGTGGTGGCGGGCACCTGTAGTCCCAGCTACTCAGGAGGCTGAGGCAGGAGAACGGCGTGAATCCAGGAGGCGGAGCCTGCAGTGAGCCCCGATGGCACCACTGCACTCCAGCCTGGGTGACAGAGTGAGACTCCATCTCAAAAAAAAAAAAAAAAGAAAGAAAGATGTAGATTGGTCAAGGATATCCATAAAATAATTATTCATTCTAATGCCTAAGTTCATACTGATTGACTACCTAACACTTTTATTGCCCTGCTTAAAAGTAGACAAACCCATCTTTATTACAATGCTGTTTTTGCTACAACATGCCTGATGAGTGGTAGGGGAAGAATAACCCCCATAGGTTCTTAGTCAGACTCCACTCCTGATACAAAAGACAGATTAACAAGTGAAAAGCACACAGAAGTTTCTTAATGTGTACATAGATTTTTTTTTCTTTTAAGTTCTGGGATACATGCGTAGAATGTGCAGGTTTGTTACATAGGTACACATGTGCCATGGTGGTTTGCTGAATACTTCATATATACATGGGAGACACCCAGAGAATGGGTAGTTCTCAAAGAGGTGGCTTTAAATTCCAGCTTATATAGCATCTTCAACAAAGAACAATACATTTTTAGAGAGTTGGCAAGATAAGGGAAGAGGACTTTGAGTCTCTACAGTGGCAGCTTGGGAAAAGGCAAATAACTGGCAGATAAGGTTAGTTAGTAAAGCTTGTTAATGTAGTTCCTTCTGATGCCATCGCAAGGCTAACAGGGGTCCAAAGCTGATTTCAGTGGTTAATCTTTGTTCTCTCTGGCAGACAGAGAGGCAGGATACCCCTTTTTGGCTATTTAATCAGTTTTATTTTATTTTTTAAATTGACAACTAATAATGGTATGAGATACCATTCTTTTTTGTAAATCTATGCCCTGCTTTTAGGCAAATAGAGGGAGAGCAGAGAGCTGTTCTGTATCTGCTTCTTCTAAATTGTCTTCAGCTCAACAATCCTTCATATTTGGGGGCAGCATATTCTGGTCTCTTACATACTCTATTTCTCTTTTACATTTTACACTTCAATTACAACTCGAAGCACTCAATGAGGATTCTGGAAACCTCTATCTAGCCCTGCTATCACTAGCTGAAGGACCCTTGGCCAAGATGAAGAACTCTACTCTCCCAGTCCCCTCATCTGTAAGATCCCTGCCTATGTCACAAGGTTCATTGTGGGGAGAAAGTAACATATGTGAAAGCTTCTGAAATTCTTAATTGTATACAAGAGGCAAGTATGAGTGTTATTAAAATTATTCAGTAAGGATGTATCCAGGGCTGAACACACTGGATTGCTTACTAACCTGGACAAAGGTGGTCATGACAATTTCCTTTCACAACTTTACATTTGTCCATGAAAACCAGAGCTGAGTAAACACAGATTTATAGCTGGGGAGCACGTTGGGGGTATGGAGTGGGGAGAGGTGTGGGGGACAGGGTGTACAGAAAATTACTAAAAGAAGGTATCACGGGTAATAGGAGTTCTTGCTACACTGACCTAACAGGATTCTTGCTGAAGGCAGGCCTCAGATATGGAAAGTAGAGGAATGGGAAATTTGGCCCAGGTATCAAGGATGATCAGATACCAAGGTTGGGGAGTTCTCACTAAACTGACTTCACAAGATTCTTGCTAATACTGACCCATGGAGGCCCACCAAGAATGATAGCCAATGCCAAGGCCTAGTCAAAGAAGAGAGTTGAGAGGACATTTTGAGCATTGTAAGCAAGATGAATTTTAAAGGAATTCCACTTTCCATCTCTTTGTAAATGGAACATGTAAATATGTAGTTCTAATTCACAGACTGCAAAGTTGTCCTTTCAAAATTAACTATTCTTAAAGCAAAAGCTACCTGGAGTACATTTTTAATCCCTAAAAGTAACATGCTATTTTCCTGTGATTCATTTCTTTTTTTCATTATTTTACAGTCTTATTATTTCCTCCAACCCCACCAACTTCGGTAAGAATAACAATTGACAAGATACAAATGAAATTTTTGTTGGCTCACCCCAATATTTAATGGCAAAATCCCATGTTAACCTAGAGTCTTCATTATCGGACTGTAGCCTCTGGGTTTTCTATATATTCTCCAGCCTGTTGTCCAAGAGCCCTGGAGCCAGCCTTCATTAGCCTGATAGAAGCAGATACATTGGCAAACACCCTTCTGGCCAAACACACATGTCAATACTACCACTTTCAAATGTTTTGACCTGAAAGCCCTGTGAAGCTTCTCCAGCGCCACTCTGTCATTCCATCAAAGAGCCATCATTTTTCTTCTTGTTCCATTGAATAGAAGTTAGATTATGAAAAAATCCATTTTCTCCATCCTCCTCTTTTATCTTACATATCCCAAATCATCTTGCACCTTTTCTGATCAGCCTCCTTCCTGCTTTAGCCTTCCTTTCATTTCCCTTCATAAGTGGATAATTCCTGGCTTCATTTTCACTTCACATTCGCCTCTCATGTTTTTCTTGAGATCTGAAGTTCTGCATTTTGCTGTACCTTCCTCCCCTCCTCCACAGATTTAGATTGGATCAACCACAATGGGAACAGCAATGAGGCCATGCTATGGGCTGGAAGTGTGATGTATTTGGTCTTCAATCTTGACAACAATTCTATTTGGCAGGGTAATTACTATCATCTTCATTTTACAAAGGAAGAAACTGGAAGCCCAGAGTCTGTAAGTGAATTGATCAAGGCCACACTTCCAGCTGAACAGATTAGGGAACTTACTTCCTGATTCCAACTTCTGCGGTCTTTCTGCTAAACTAATGAAATTTGCTGTCTCACTCTTCTATGTCCCCATTGCCATTCTTCTTACCATGTTTCTCTTCTCTCAATTCATCATCACCTTTACATCAACCATTCAACTGTTCAACTAATGAACTTCTATTTTTGTCCTATCTTCACCCTTTACTGCACCCCTCCTCAATCCCTTTTCTTTATTTCCTTCCATAGAACTGATGTGGTCCCAAAGATTTACTCTTCCTTCAGAAATAACTGGACAAAGAAAATAAAATCTGGGGCAAACAGAGAACAGATCCAGCTTCTGGGACACCTGAAGCTTGAAAGTTTTGAAAGACACTGCATTAGTCCATTTTCATGCTGTGGATTAAGACATACCTGATATTGGGTAATTTATACAGGAAAAACAGTTTAATGGACTTACAGTTCCACATGGGTGGGGAAGCCTCATAATCATGGCAGAAGGCAAGGAGGAGCAAGTCACATCTTACATGGATGGCAGCAGGCAAAGGGAGAGCTTGTGCAGGGAAACTCCCATTTTTAAAACCATCAGATCTCATGAGATATATTAACTATCATGAAAACAGCACAGGAAAGACCTGCCCCCATGATTGAATTACTTCCCAGCAGGTTACTCCCATGACACGTGGGAACTGTGGGAGTTACAATGCAAGATGAGATTTGGGTAGGGAAACAGCCAAACCATATCAGGTATCATTAAGAGAAATAATGCAAAATTGCTACTATAATATTAGGCAGAAATATAAGTATTAACTTAGAATGAGAAAACAGATTACAACAAATTAGAAACTTAAAAAGCTAACAAAGCCATAATCACAAAATCCAGAAAGTCAAAATAATATTTTTATGAATTAAATAGCTGACATATCTGTATAATGCCTTCTATATTACTTTTTTGCTATTGTTTCTGATTGCCTCTTCATATAACCAAATATTATAATATTTTCGATGGAGAAACTTTCTTTAAAAAATTTAGTTTTCCTCTAGCATAACTGCTCAAAATTTATTTGATATACTTGATATCTTAGAAGAGTTTATTTCAGGTTCATTACTACTAATGGTAGTGTCATGCTAAGATGCTATTCAATACACTAGGATGCATAAAACATACAATGTCACATGAATATCATGAATATATTACCTATTTATATATAGTACAACTATAGTTTCTGCCCTGCCAATATTAAAATTCTGATAAATTCTGCTTTATACAGTTCCTATAAATAGAAATAAAAGACCATATGATGCATTTACAAATGCATGTGCTGCATTAGGGAAGATAATTTCATCAAGGGAGAGAACCATTTTGCTTATGCATTGACAATAATTAAGTCTATTTCTTACAATTTTGCACACTTACTGTTTTTAAGAATTTTCCACAGATCACTTCTGGCTGCCTATATTTCAAATTTGGTTTCTCCTCCATACCACTTGCTTCTCATGCCAGGCACTGCTCTGTACCATGACTTCCCATCTTGCAACTTCATGTTCAAACACTCAGGAGTCATTTCAGTGATCAGCAGGTATATTCCTATGTTATTCCTACATGAAACAGCTAGAAAACTGTTCATAAGACTACAAACTGTAAATATATCTTGCAAAAACCAAGCCAAGTGAACCCCAACTGAACTTTTACTTAGCTGTATCCCCAAAATATCCACAGCACTTCATTGCCATCTGACATGAGGAGCAGAATGACAGAGGAAAGTTCCTTGTGGAGATAGTCTTGATCAAATGGAATTAAAATATCCTTGCAAATTTTACCAACACTATGATCATATAAATCCATTTATAGAATCCCTGCATGAGCCTTAGAAGGGATCTGTGCAAGCAAGAGAAGCTCTGAAATACAAGTTTCATTTCCTTCAGGGTAAATCTGCCTCTGTTAGTTAGCCATGAAATCAGCTTTCCTGAATACTTTTCAAGGCACAGTAGAATGAAAGTTACATCAAACAAAAACAAAAATAAAAGGACAGTTATATAACAAAACAAATGTTTTAATAGGAATAAATCTTGTAGACAAAATCACTAAATTCAATGGTCTTCAGAGTCTTTGATTGTAGCTTTTTTTTTTTTTTTTTTTTTTGGTTTTCACCCACAGATAAACACATGCATGTAGTAATTGCTCAACGTGAGTTTTATAAATGAATTAGTGAATGAACACATAAATAAATGAATGCCATTAAAACCCACTGTTTGTTGCCATGTCCTGAAGAGAGCTAAATAGAAAGCTCATTTATTATCCGAGTGAACAGTCAGTATGTATTGACTGTGCGTCAGCAGAGAGTCCTACCTGTCTTGTGCTTTTATAATGGTCCAAGTGTGACTCAGATTTCATAAACTGACTCCCAAGGACTCAGATAATGATCATGTGCCCTACAAGGAAGACGATATAAACATATCACAATAATCTTGTGAACATTTACAGTAAGAACAATCCTTCAAATCTTGTCACATTAAATACATTATTCCTTTTCTATTTCTAATATTGGGAATAAAGCTTTACCTTAAGCCTCCCCTGAAAAGAAGAAAAAAATAAAAACACAACAACCAGCATTTGAAAATGTAGCCATGGTAAGTAAAATAGAGTGTGCGGTAGGGAAGATAGAAAGCCATATTCATGATCCTTGAAATTGCAGTGTCTGCCCCACACCTGTCAAAGAAGTTGTAATTCAAATGATGATGTTTTCAAACAGAGATTGTTTTCTGACAGTGAACAACAGTCTCTTTCCAAATAAAAATGTTTTTTAACACTCCTGGATGTGAATCCAATATGGAAATGGATTTGAAATAAACATTAAACATTTTGCCATCTGTTGCCCTGCTGAGTCACTGAAGAATATCCTCCCCAAATGTTCATATTTTCAGACTAATTGGTCCATGGCTGCCAGGCACGAAGAAGAAAGAAAATCTGAAACTCAGTGATTCCACTAAGTTGTAAAAGATGCACTACAGAGACATTGCTATTTGAAGATGAAGTTGTGGATTAACAGTGGAGTCAAACCAGGGAAAACATTCCTAGGTTGTCAGAACATTTTATCCAACAATTCATCACAATCAGTGCATTCCAGTAACTTTGATTAATTTAAGACCTAATTTTTTAATCTCAAAACTTCTACCAAAATATATTTACTTTACATTTCTAATCTTTAGAGAGCATTGTTTTTAATGAGCTTTAGAAATTTGAGGAAGAATTGGAGGAGCAATGGAAGAAAAAGATAAAGGGGATAGAAGGAGAGACAAGTAGAGTAAATGATGGATGAGTGAGATTTCCAAAATAGCAACAAGAAAGGGGAGGAGAAGACTTTAAAATAGTCAAAGAACCCTAGTATCATTCTTCACATTGCAAGCATGCCTTTCCTCTGAGGAGTATAGAACAAGCTAAGGAAGTTAGTTTCAGTTTCCTTGAGACTAAGAGGAATAGCGCAAAGTTGTTCTCCCCACTGTCTGCTCTCACCTCTGGCTACTTCCAGCACTAATTCTACCATGTTTAAAGCCAGCCTGAATCCTGAGACCGCAGTCCCAATCACAGGACCACCTTCATGCTACTTACATAGCTTTAATGTCATTCTGGATCAACTGCACGTTAGCCTCAGCATATAGGGGATGATGGAAACAAGAAATAGAGGCAGACGCAAGGGAATAATTGAAGGAATGTTTCTTAAGAAGGCTGAGGAAATTTCTCTGGCTGATAAAGTTTATCCTAATAACAATCCCAGCAGAATGCTTTAGAAACCAACAAGCTGGCTAAAATAAATTTTTTAAAATTATACAAAAAAGCAGAAGACCTAGTACAACCAAAATAATTTTGAAAAAGAACAAAGTTGAAAGACTCATAGAACCTAATTTCACAACTTACCATAAAACCAAGACATTCTGTTATTGGTGAAAAAATAAACACATAGATCAGTGGAACAAAATAGAGTCCAGACATAAAGTCACATATATATGGCCAAGCTGCTTTTCACTAAGTGTCAAACATTTCGGTGGATAAACCAGTCTCTTCAACAAACTGTGCCAGAACAACTGAATATACGTATGCAAAAATATAAACTTCAACCCATACCTTGCTCAATATATAAAAATTAACTCAAAAAGAATCATAGACCTAAGTGTGAAATGTGAAACTATAAAACTTCTAGAAGATAACATAGAAAAATATTTATGACCTTGGCTTTGGCAAAAATTTCTTACATAGAACATAAAAAACATAAACCGTAAAAGAAAAAAACTGATAAATTGGCTTTCATCAAAATCAAAAACATCTTCTCTTTGGAAGACAAAGTCAAAAAATGAAAAAACAGACACAAACTGGGAGAAAATATTTGCATAACATATATCTAATAAAGAACTGATAACAAGAATATATAAGGCTTTTCAAAACTCAATAATAAGAAAACAACCAACCTAAAAAAAAAAAAAAAAAAAAAAAAAAGGAAAACATTGTAACTACACTCTGTCAAAGAAGCTCCCTGGAATAAATAGGTGCATGAAAAAATTGCTCAATGTCATTATCAATGGAGAAATGCATATTTAATGAGATACCACTGTATACCTATTAGAATGACTTTTTTAAAAAGACAATTACCAAATACTGCTGATGGAGCAAACAAAATGGTATGATAACTAAAAGGACCCAGACTCAAAAGGCTGCCATATAGATGGCTTTATTTATATGACATTCTAGGAAAAGCAAAACTAGATGAAAATAAATCATACCAGTGGTTTCTAGGGAAGGGAGACGGGATTATCAACAAAGGAACTTGAAGGAAACTTTTGAGATGATGGAAATTTTCTGTATGTATATATCTTGATTATGATGGCAATTGCATCACTTAAGTTTGTCAAGGTTCATCGAACTGTATACCTAAAAAGAAAGAATTTTACTACATGTCATGTAAATTATCTCTCACAAAACTAAAAAAAATAATAATTACAGTAAATTCAAAATTAATTGCATATAAATTATCTTATGAAATATAATTTTTTTGATATGTACTCAAATTCAATAAGGACAGAATTCAGTATACTATTTTAATCATTAAAATGTCTTTTTGTGATCAATTTTCAGATGAATAAAATGCATTTTCCTAAAGCATTCACCACATTGTTCAAAGGTAAGGCATTGTTTAGTATTGATTGGTAGCTACAGTTAATTGCTGTGACATGATTTAACATCCACTTATTGAAACATTCAAGAACGATTTATTGAATATTACTAGACTAGAGGCCTACAAAGGACTAGGAATCAGTTCTCCCCAGTTCTGGACCAGTAGGATATGCTTCAGATCTCTCCAATAAACTTTCATAAGGTAAGATCAGATTGGAGTAAATATTAGAAAACTAACTTCAAGCTTAGTTTCAGCTGCTACATAATGATACAGTTGTTTAATATTAGAAAATAATATCACATGGCATGGACAACATTACAAACACCATAATTACTACACTTAGAATGAGTGAAACTTACAGAAGACATTTTAAGTGGTCCACATATTATAACTCCCAGGGTACCCAAAAGCAAACTGCTAAAAAGGTAATGTAAGCTCTAGGAACACTACTTATTTTAACAGTGAATGGAAGTACGTTATACATGAAATTTTAGTCATACTCTCTCTGCTGGAAGACACTTCAGATGGGAAGCCAGTCTCATCTATGTTAACACTTTATATTTTCTCTACATCTCACCTCTATCTTTGAAATAATTAAACAACCCACCAATTTCAATAGGGTCTTGCTGTGAATACGAACTCACCAGTGCTTTCAGAGTTCCCAGAAGATGAGCCATCTACAAAGGGTTGGTCCTGTGGGCATGCCTCCTATTCAGTCCTGCTGGTCCCATGCTTAGAAGGGCCTGCACTTGGTTTACTGTTCTACTCTCGCTGTCTTGAAATTCTTAATAATTTTTTTAAAAGGGCTCCACATTTTCATTTTACACTAGGCCCCACAGAGTATGGACCTGGTCCTAACTCCATAAATACCAAAGCTGAGGTGAAGGCTCTGAGTTACTCTTTACATATAGCCACTTAGGTCATGTGTTTGACTAAAATCTAACTAAATTTATCTGGAAACACTTTGGTTAAGAAACTATAGACAGAAAGTAGGCAAGCTGGGCTTATGCAATTTCTGGAGACTTCTGGTAAGACAGACATCTTGCAAGGACAATCCACTTGTACGAGGGTTTGGAGCTTCTACTTCCTATTCCAGGTAAAATAGGGTAGAGAGAAAACTAGATAGATTTTGTTCTCATGTGACCATCCATCATTGTATGCAAGCACATATTTAGACTTGGTTTTACCTGAATCTTTATTTGAATCTTTGGTCAGTTCTTGCTCCTACATGTTTTATGTATTCATTTGCTTATTCATTAATTAAAGATTTAATGACTCCCTACAATATACCAGGTATTGTGCTTAACACTAGATATAAAATTAAAAAACAATAATTAAACAAGACAATAGTTTCTTCCCTCATAAAACTTAAGGCCACTGAAATAAGGTCACTTCTAATCTTCCCATCTATAGACTTTATAATTTTGTTACTTTTTTTCCCCAGCACATTGATTTTTAGTATATGAACCTAGAAGAAGGATACGCTGCATACTAGCTTTTTCAATAAATAAGTAAATGTGCTTTTTTAAATGTCAGGTTTTATTATGTAATAATGAGAGAAATTTGGCTAAAATAAATGGCCTGGGCTGTATAAAATGTATCCAGTAAACAATTAGCATTGCTTCTAAGCTAAACCACGTCACCATTCTCCCCTTTGTATTAAATGGCATGCACTATCATAGTCTCAGAGCTGGCTTCCAGCCCAGTCAGCTCCTGCAGCCAGCAGGGCCCAGGGCAGCAGTGTCTTTTATAAGTGGGCTAAAAGCATTTGGCTTACATCTCAAATGCTGAGCCTTTCTGCAAGATGGCAAATAGCATAACCCAAGTGCTTTGGAGCAAAGCTGATTTTAAAAGCATTAGAACAACTGAACCTTCTCTTAATCATGGTCCAAACAAAAACCAGTTGGTCCCCTGCAGTCTTTCTTCATCCTCAGCAGTGTGACTTGGGCTCTTTGGTTCTGAAAAAGCGTCTCTCTCATGCATTAGCCATAACACAAAGCAGCAGATGCCGAATACCTATTTCCATACCAGTTCCTGGGCTGAGGAAGTGACAACTGGTCAGAATTAAGCTGAACCTGGAAACATCCTGGGGTTCATTTTTATTTGAGGTTACCAAATCAACAAGTGAAATTTTTCTGGGTTTGGTAAAGAGGAGCATGGTAAAGGTATCAAATGGCACTCATATACTTGGATGTGAATAAAGGGTCTTATCCCCTGACAGCTCGGCAGGGGTGAATTTAGTTCCTGCAAAGCATATGGAAGCTTTTATTCCTCCCCTCAGTGAAAATGTGTTATTTTATGTGCTCAGACTATCACCTCCTCCCTTGCTTTTATAGAGAACACCTATTTCTGATGAAAGCTGCCAATTTACTATCCCAAAACCCCACCCACAGCTGGACACGTGATCAGTAGGAGTCAATCAGAATCTTCCTCTGGGTTTTCTCACGAGGTCTGGAGGGAAAGAGCTTTCTTTCTCTCTTGTCAGTAGACTATAAGAACATAACATCTTGGGCTCCTGGAGCCTTGTGGAACCAGTCAGCTGAAGAGAAGACAGCTAGAAGTTAGAGAGAAGCAGAAATGAGGGGTGACAAGGAAGCCCTGAGGTGCCAGTTCCTGGACCTCATCACTCAGAGACCAGCTCCTCTGCTCACCCCATCATTTCAGCACATAAGCTACAGCATCTCTCTTTTATATCTTGCTTTGTTTATACTAACTCAGATTGGATTTCTGCCACTTTTAAGGAAAAGAGTCCTGACAAATTCACCCCCTGCTCCAAAGGCTGCATGTCTAGAACCTGTTGGACATCAAGTAAATTCAGGTCATATCCAGGAGGACGAGAGGAAACCATATTATTAGGCTCAAGGAAGCCTACCTGCTACCAGTCAATCAACTCCCTAAAGTCCTGTCAAATTTATGCTACCAAATTTATGGAAGCAATTTATTAGAACCTAATACTTTTCTCTGTGCAGAGTGAAGATGTCACAGTCTATGGCAGTTAGGCAAGAGAGGATGAGGGGTGGGGAAAGGGAAAGCAAGACACACCTAAGGGGACTGCTCAAAGCTGGAACTCTGCTTATCACACAACTAACAAAATGAAAGTGCACCTCCATCCAGGAACTTTCATTTATATCACTAGTTGGCTCCCTTCTCCATATCAGTAACTTCTATAAATCAGTAACATCTACCCAGAGGTAGAGACCAGATTAAACAAATGTCATTCTACATACCATGGAATAGAAAAGTGTTCCCCATGAGTATTTCAATCTATATAATAATTTCATAGGCAGATTAATTCAAAAAAGCAAGGTAAATGAGATGAAAAGGGAAACTAAAAAACTAAGAAAACAAATTGAAGGCTAACTCAGCTGAAAAGTAAATGATTATCCTCTCCCCTGCCCCCCAACACACACACACAAAAAAGGCGTGAACAATCTTAGCAAATGCATAGAAAAAAGGCAGAGATTAAAATAAGAGGAAAATATAGAAGAATGACATGGACAGCCTAGAAAAGGACAAGTTTTTGGTCTCCCTTAGGTGTAGAATCAAATACATGGAATATAAAATTCATTCAAAGATGATGAGAAGAAAAAAATTTCTCCAAAATGAAGAAAAGCCTGAATCTTCTGATTGAAAAATATATACCATATTATAGATATAGCTAGGTTTTTCACCTCATATTCATTTCCCTTCCCACTTCCTAACAGGAACAGGTTTTCATTTAGATGTCCACTCCTCCTCTCCATGACTGCTATGCTTTGGCTCCCTGATCCCATGCTCAGTACCAAGCGTTGGCTCTGATTGGTTTAAACCAATGAGAAGTCTACCATCAGAATAATTATTCGTCAGAAAATAGTCTGTCTTTTGTGTCTATAACTAAGATATTATCATTGTCATGGATGTTCTAGTTTCACTACAATGTGTCAAAAATTGTAGTGAAACTGTAGAACATCCATGACAATGATAATATCTTAGTTATAGACACAAAAGATAGATTCTCTTCTGATGAATAATTACTGCATTTAGCATATGCAGTTGTGTTCTGAAGTCAGCTCATACTGGCTCACAAGAGCCAGTTATGCACATCTCTTCCCAATCCCCATTTCAGTGAAGTCATACTAGTAACCTGAAATTAGCCATAATGACAGTATTTTCAACACAGAAATTAACAAACACTGTAAATCAGAGCTTTTTTCAATCATGAAGAGCTGGTTGTTAACACTTACCAGCATGCCACTGAGTACATAGGTCTTTAAAAGCTGGTATTTTTCATCGGTTTTGGAAAATTGTAAGCCATTATCTCAAGAATTGCCCCTTCTCTAGTATCTCTTCCTAATCTTTCACGTCTCTTAAATATTTTTTCAGTTTTTCCCGTCTCGTTATCTCTTTGTGTGACATTCTACATAATTTTCTCAGTTGTCTTCCAATTCACTAATTCTTTCTTCAGCTGCATATAATCTAATACATAACTCATTCATGGAGATATCAATGACATGCCTATATTTCTAGACGTTCTATTTTTTTTCTTCAAATTTATCTCTTCACAGTGTACTGTTCTCTCCTTATGATTTTCATTTCTTCTTTTTTCATTTTAGCCATTTGAAGCATGGTTATTGTATAGTCTTTCTCAGATTGTGCTATTATTTCAAGTTTGTGGGAATACTAGCCTTCCTATTCATACAGTCTGCTGACTCTCATTATAGATTATTTCCCCATGGAATTTACAGGTTTTTCTTGTTTCCCTCCATTTTCCCC